TACACCATAGAGATTATTATTGCTTTAAAAGATCACCTATAAGAAGTATGTGCAGCTTTGAGGAAAAAATGGGATTTGACTATGGTGTGATTAGCTTTGGATCCTGTGAAAGCATTCAGTATGATTAAGAGAGGTGTTATCTTTTGATTTTGTTAGCCAAATGGGAAGAAATCAGAAGATTAATATTCCTGGACCTCGACTTTGATAAATATTTGGTTTAGCCTGCCATAGAGTTGACTTTACAAATTTCATACCCAATTCTTTCCCCTCCCCCTTTTTTTGAGGGTTCTTAAAAAAAAAAAAAGAAGATGATTTAGTTACTAATTCTTTTCATGCTTTAAATAAATTCTCAGCAGTCTAAACACTGCATGATCAAATTTAGCTGCAGAATCCAGTCCCTTCATCCTTCTAATTGTAGGTGTTCTTTAAACCCTGGAAGAGTAAGAAAGTATAGAAAAAGCATCTTCCCATGCTCTTGCCAACATTGCTTCAGACACACCCATGATTCAGTTCTCATTTCGTTTGTATAATAATGAAGACCATTCTTGCTGCCTCTTCCTGAGCAGTTACGTTTTCTTTGTTGTCTTCATCTTTCTCAGATGAATCAAGACATGGAAAAATGTGATAATGGTTGGGTGTTCAGTTTCATAGCCGAAGCATCTGAGGTTTTTCTAAAGCAGCTATCCTTTTCTGAAAGTCAGCATCTCTTTCAGCCTGTGGTTCTTTTTTCCACAGCATCTGCTTCTGCCTGTCTCTTTCCCACATTGTATATACTGTCTCTCTGTGTATTTTTTAAATTGATGTGTGCATCAGTTGTATAAATTCTTATGGGTAAAATTGGTTTGTTATTTGTTGCACTGCTAAGTGTCTGGCTTCTGAGGAACACATCTTCAGCAAACAGCCGTATTTCCTATTTGTTTATGTTTGCAGGACTGTTTGTTTATGTCTGTGTATGTTTGCAGGATTGAGAGAGGTGAATAATACACAGTAATTGCTATGTGATACAAAATGCGTGAAGGAAAAGAAGAAACTATTAAAAGTAGGTACTTAGAAAACAATAAAGAAACCTGGGCATAGCTTGTTATTTTGCTTGTAGGGACAAGGTGTCCTTTCATTTCATATATAACATGCCAGGTATGATAAATTTGAGGCTGATTCCTGGCTTCTCAAAGGATCTTTGTCTCTTTTCCTTTTTTTTAGTACTTAACCTTTCTCTGTAACCTCCTTATTATATGGCATAAAACTAGATTCACTTATCTTCTCTTCCTACCGAATCTGGGGATGGCATTTTTGATATTTTTACCTCCTTTTCTTTACATGCGTTACTCAAGTAGAGCTTGATTCTTTAGCTAACCATATCTTTTCTAGACAACACAATAAAATCGGCATTGTTATTATCGATGACAAGCTTCTTAGGAAGTTCTTGTCCCTGAGATTATACTGTTCCTTAGATGGTTTGCTGCATTCTATAGGTAGACTCCCTTCCCCCCGCAAAGTACAGCAATATTAGAATCTCGTAACTCAGGATAAAATTATTGCATCAGATGACATTTGGAAAATTATCTTTGTTGGAACAGGTTTTTAGAAATGAATAGTTACATTCAGAAGGCTTCATAGTTATCTCCTCTATGTTCTGAAGGAGCAATTATTCTTCACTCTATAGTATCTTTCTCAATTTCTCTTTTTAAATTCTCATTTTTCAGCATTTATCATTAGCTCACTTTTTGTCATTCCAAGTCTTTTTGGTAGGAAAAACATAAATGGCTTTCATCCAAACTACTTTGTACTGTTTAAACTGTTAGCTGTCCATGCCAGCCTCATCCTCCCTTTGTAACTTGCTAGTTGACTGGATCATTTTTCTGTTGCTTTTTTTTTTTTGCTTTTTATTTGTTAACACTTTCTCATATTAAATGAAACCACATCTTCGCAAAAGATCTGTTTCTTAAAAAAAAAAAAAGAAAGTAGTAAAACCTTACAGGGAGAAAAATCCATATGTTAGAAAGATACGCATAATTAACCCAAATATTTTTGGCCAGCGTTCCAGACCAGTGAGTAATTTCCATGAGTCACTGGTCTAGCACTCTGGTGATGTGACCAGAGGACATGTTGGAGAAACCACAACAAGAGCCAGACTCTGCCTTGTTAAAGCTATTGGGAAATGTTCTCAGTGTATTTCCATGTGAGTGAAATAAAATCCTTCATTTGTTACTCCTCTCCTCAAAAAAAACCCCACTATCCCCCAGAAAAAACAGTTGACGTTGCTGTGAGACTCATTGCGTGTCTTTTGTCATGAACACTTCTATGTCTTAATTCTACACCCCATACTTGAATTCCATCGTAAAGTTTCTGTAATCTAAACGTTTCTTGTGACCCACTGAAACTCAGACAGCTAAAGTGATCTACAGCTTTTTCCTCTGCAAGCTTCCTAAGTGGTGTGGCACTTCCTATCATCATACATCAGTTTGCAACCTTCTGCACCCTAGGCTATACCCTTCCTGAAATTTGAATTTTCCTCAACTTCCATGAACTTCTCTTCTCTTGTATTCCTCTTAATCCTTCAATCCTTCTATAAAGCTCTTAGCTTTTGTCTTGGAAGTTGATAATAGGTTGAAAATTTCATGATACATCTTCCTCTGCTTTTCTTACTTTTATGTACCATTTCTTTTCTTTTACATAGATAATGCCACCTTTGGGCCAGGAAGAAACTAAATTGCCTCTTGTTGTTCTGTCTTTCTGTAGCACTTAACAGAGCACCATTTTGGCCTGTGGTTAGAGCTCCTCTGGGATAGCAGCAAAAGTTGTTTTGTTATTCCTAATTAAAGTGTGTGGAAACCAGAATTAAAGCCTAGGAGTTTTTATGCACTTACACTAAAAGGTTCAATGTATTACGTTCTGTTACAGAGCAGCAAAAGATATTGCAGGAATCTTGGTTAGTTGAATTCCTCTGTCAGTCTTGTGGAAAAAAATGCTTTTTCTTGCAAAACTTGACTTCTTTCTAAGTGAAGCAATAAACTCCATTGTAACTTTAAAAATACTCGTTTCTTGTTCAGAGGTTGCTTGGATAAAGCAATTGGTAGATGGAAAAATCTTCATACTGTGTCTGAGCCATCTCCTCATTCAAAAAACCCAAACCAAGTAATTCTGTAAGCAGCAGGACTTCTGAAGTTGACTTGGTGTGGCTATATATATGAGTGAATTATCCTAACTAATATTTGAAGATGCCTTACAGCAGTGACACAAGTCTGGTTCTCTTATAAGGCTGTTAGTTACCAACAGCTTTGACATCTCTACTCTCTGTCAAATCTATCTCAGATATATCCAGAAATCCAACCCTATCTATTCTATAAGTCTATGATTTCATGACTTAAAAATACTGAAACAGAGGGAGGAAAAGTATAGGGATCATAGCATAAACGTTATGATCTTAGAAGCCCAGTTTTCTTAGGAAGCATAGATTAAAAATCCTCCAAGCCTAAACTATTTTTATTCCCTGCAATCTGTAAAAATATGCTTCACAGTTTTGCATAGATGCAGTGTCTTGAGCTTGTGGAATTGTGTTAACCCACATCATGCTGGCGTAGTCTGCCTGACCTTTGTTTCTGTGTTTATGCCAATCATTTACTTGTGTTCATTGAGTCTAGTAATAAATACCAAAGTCAGCAAGGCTTCAAGTCAAGTTAAGACTGTTTGTTTCTAAATTACCATAATTATTATCACACCATGAAAATTGAAGAATAGGAAGGTAAAGTGTCTCCTGACGGAAATGTCAAATGATGTGAGACTGTCAATACATCATTGTTTAATTTTCTACCACAATGGCAATTTCAGAGTAGAAATAAATGCACATTAAATCACATGAAACAGAAAAGATTGCATCTGTGTGATTTGCAGAAAGCAAACCAAACAGACCACATCTAGTGTTAATATTGATCTAATAATTATATTTTAGTGTTTACTAGACCTCAGAATAACCAATCTTTCAGGAAATATCTGCAACCTACACCTCATACAAAATGAAAATAAACTAAGATTTTTAAACACCTTTATTTTGTCTTAAGTCCTAACCCTTTTCTAGTTTTAATAAAATTCTAATATGCCATATTTATGAATACCATACTGTGGGTTTATTTTTATATTTACTAATTTAGGCTATTTTAGATTGGTCTGAATGTCATTACTGTTTTCTTTCCTTGATGTAGTATTTTAAGAAAAATTGTCCAGTTTTGTTATGTATATAGTAGCTCTTTATATTTAACATAATTTGTATGTTTGCTTCAGGGAAAAGTCAGTTGTTAGGATTTTGAATTGTCATGCTTTTGAATTGTACATACCAATATTGGTTTGTCATCTTTTTATGGGGATGGAGGGCAGGGACTGTCAAAATATGAGATCTTTGACACCCAGAATATTACTTTGGGTTTATCACCTCTGACAGTAATTTGAAACTTGTCCTTTTCCTTATTTTTTCTGGGCTCCTTGCCATTAGCATAGAGTGGGAGGAACAACAGTGGCCCCACAGTGCATCATGTGTGTTTCATTTGTCCATACCCTTACTTCTTGTAGAAATACTTTCCTCTTGGGACCTACTGCCTTCAAGGATGCTGCAAGTCTAGGGCTACAGACAGTATTTGCCTGAAGACTTTGACTTCCTGGGCTTCAAGAAGGCAAAAGCCAGGCCCTCACCAAGTCACTTACAGTCCAGACTGCTGTGTCTTTCTTTCACTGGGAAGAGCACCAGTTTGTGAAACTTCCTCACCCACCAGCTTTCCCTTTTTACCTTCTAATTTCTTTCAACTTTAAGCAGTTAAACGTTGGAGGATATTGGCATTTCTACAAATAACTTGCTTTGGAAAGATACTGGGTGATGGGAAAATTTTAACCAGCATCTCATGTCTTCTGTAGAGTTAAAATATTATAAAACTTGAATATATGCTTCTTACTTTTTTGCAGATCCAGTCTTGCTTGTGGAATTGTTGAAGATCTGAGATCAATGAAAAAACATCTTTGCATGCAAAAAAAGGATCCTTTTGGTTTATCTGTTTTAAAGTCATCAAGCATGGCACTTAATGACTCACCTACAAGATTTCTTCACTGACATCTGAAGAACAAACTGCTTTTCAATCTGTACTTTTGTAGCACTATGACTAACTGTAAAGGCAGATCTACCATCTCCAAAACAAACCACAAAGTTCACGACAGAGAACGTTTTGTAAACTGGACCATAAATCTTAGTACAATTCAGTCTGATAAGTTTTTGAGGCTCCTTTTGAGTATGGTTCCTGTTGTTTACCAAATAAGCCAGGATGAAAGACACAAGAAAATGAATGGGGTCTGGCAAGATGGATTACAACCAGCAGGACACAATTTTAATGTTAGGTCTGAACAACATACAGAATACCATCACTTCTCAGAACCAAGTTTTCATGGTAGCAGTGGACACAGCCCATCTAGCTGTAGCCCTAAATATGATGATTTTACCAATTATAATTACTGCGATGGAATGGACACTTCGGAAACAGAAGCCATGTTGCAGGAAGACAACCTATCTAGTGACAGTAATGAAGATATCATTGTGGAAGGAAGTAGAAAACAACCCAAAGAATCTAGTAGTATTATGGCATTACAGATACTTGTACCTTTTTTGCTAGCAGGATTTGGAACTGTTTCTGCTGGCATGGTTTTGGACATTGTACAGGTTGGTATTTGCTTTGGAAGATGTTTTTTTAACAGGTATATGTGTATAATTCTAATACATATGATGTGTATAATCCTAATATGTGATACTGTAGATGTTTAAATATTGAGGAGTGATTAGGTCTGTATGGTTCTGCTGCTATGAACTCCTTTCTCCTAAACCTCATCTTAAACAGTTGAAATGTTTAATTTGGAACCATTCAAGTCCTGGTAAGTGTTGTTGCTTAGCCACAGTGAGCTGGTGAATAAAACCATTAACTTGTGCTTTAACTAAGGATAGAAATATGACACTAATAAATGTAAACATAGTGGGAGTTCTAATTAGCTGTGATTCCACAGGTCCTTTCCACCACTAACTATTCTATGATTCTGTAATACATAGGAGTTTAAAAGGATTTGAAGAATGTATTGCATTATCTCATCTCTTTGAGTGCTTCAAGTCTATGCAATTTCTGTAATATTGTGTAGATTTTGTCCCTGATAATGCCTATGGTATATAAATATGTGCATTGCATTCATATGTTATATGAAATTAGTATTACGTGATTTACAGCTTTTTTGAAAATTCAGGTGTGACGTTTTTGTATAACATTAGATATAACGGAAGCTGTTACAAACGGCAGTGGTTGAGCAGGGCTGCTAAGTGAGGTCCACCTTGACATATAATTGTAGTAGGTCCAGAGAAGCCACATTATCTTGGTTTGTGGTAGCAGATTTAGCTGATAATGCTAAAGATCAGGGCTAAGATCAAATAGAACTTACTCTCAATTTTAGGACTGAAGTTTAATAATATTTTTAAAACCTGTTTTGGAGGGTGATATCGCTAAGACCCTACTGATACGGAACATTTTTAGGACTGGTTTCTAGTTTAACACAGTTGAAGATGTTAGCAGCTTTTCAGTGGATTTAAAAGTAACAGTTGCCTATGAAATAGTTCTCTGTGCAGTGATATTTGAAGAAAATTCTGGCGATAGTAACAGTTAAGAAAGGTTTATTGCACTAGCTTATTTTCTTGAGTTCTCTTTGCCTTTTGAAGGCTCCATTTACTTTTTATTTTTACCTAACTTGTCTTTTTAAAGACTGAAATTTATTTTAAGTACAAACCTCATGGATTCTCTCTTCCTATATTCACAAAAAATACAAAAAAATATGAAATAACCACAATATTTAAACTGCAAGACAATAGAGAAATTAATCTGTGTTTTTTCATTTGTTTCATTCAGCTTTAGGGCTTCTCTTTAGCTAAATTTAAAGAGTTTACAAAGTTCAAGACGGGTAAGAGGTGACTGTCACTCAAAATCCTAAGAGTGAGGGAAGCTTGGACTTCTATACATCAAGAAAAAGGAAAATAAAAATTGGCATGCAAACTTTACTGCTTCCGTACACTGTTTTACACCAGTCTTATGCTTTGTTCATTTACATCTTTACCAATGTATTCTTCTTACAAGTGCTTTGTTTATACATGGTTAATATATGATTTGCTGCATGACACAGCATAATGATCAGCCAAAAGAGGCAGTTGTGTCTACTGCCACTACTGGCTTCAAACCAAATTATTTCACTTTGTCTTCCTTCCTCTTAGAGGAATGTGTTTGTATAGCTGTTTTTTGAGCTGGACTGGGATGTATCTTCATTTTTGCTTCTATATTACTTTCAATCTTTATTGTTTTCCAGTCTATGAATGAGAAAGATGTGGCACAAAGGCAAGCATAAAGTGCCAGTACTATCTTTTTTCACCTCAAACTAATCCTTAAACTGTGATGTCAGTGAAGCAGGATTTTGCAGTGTGACAGAACATGTTTCGAAAATGGAGATTTGAAGACAGTAACACATTCTGACCTTGTTTACAACCAATTATATGTCTATTTTTGCCAGTGGTATATAGATACATATCTTCACATATACGTAATTCTCAGATCTTGTTTACATTTGAGAACCAAATCCTTTTATTTTAATTAAAACAATCATAGAATCATAGAATGGGGTGGAAAGGACATTAAGATCATCTAGTTCCTACCCCCCGCCATGGACAGGGAAATAATAACATAAATGATTGCAAATCCCTGAATACAAAGACAGTTTACAGTTTTGTTTAGTTGAAGTTGGTAAATGATTACAAATTATGTATTGACAGACATACAAAATAGCCCAGAATTTCAGTGCTGAGAAGTCAGCACACAAAAAATTAAAGAGCTTGCTTTATAAAATCTGGGTTTTGGAAAACTGTATTCTTCTAAATTTTACTCTTAGAAGGAAAAGAATGAAGATCAGCTTTTTTCACTTACAGGCTCTGTTCACAAGTAATTCCTTGCCGTTTTTATGTGAGGTTTCAACTCAGCTGGAAGGGAAAAGATGAAAATATTTTTGTAAATTAAGAGCAGAATTCAAGAGCAGTCATAGTACCTGGTACTATTTTAGTCATGAAAAAACCCAACTTGTAGTTAATGACATCTTAAGGCCAAACTTTGTATCTGTTCCTTTAGATATTCTCATCTTTGAAGTAGTAATATGCGGTCATGAATCTTTTGTATCTAAATAGGTAACAGTTTTGGCTTTAGACTTTTAGGTCTAATAGAAAAAGATTGATTTTTATTTTTTTTTCCGAGGATTAAGTTGTGAGTTACAGGAGTTTTTGAATATTTTGCAGATCCTTTAATTTTTCGATTTAATGTTTCCCACTGTATCCTTTATACAGCATTGGGATGTGTTCAAGAATGTTACTGAAGTTTTTATCTTGGTTCCTGCACTTCTTGGTCTCAAAGGAAATTTGGAAATGACCTTGGCATCCCGACTGTCAACGGCTGTAAGTAACTTTCTCTTCCCCTTCGTTCTTCAGATATCTGTTGTAAATATTTTGAAAGGAAAACAAACACATTTATAACACATAGACATAAACATTTTATGTTTATATTTTAATCTGGCTGTTAGGAGGGCTCTTTAAATCTGTTACTAAATTGCAAAGTTAAAAAGTTGACCCTCTTCTAATCTCCACACATCAAAATTTTACTTCTTTGAGTCTCCTCTGAGTCATCATTCAGAACATATAAAGTAGATTTTTCAGAGTTATATGTGTTTTCTATAGGGTTGATAGATCTCTTTGGCCTTGAGGGGCTTTGAATAGGCTAATAAAATGTGCACATTTTGAACACAGTTTTTTAAAGACCACTTGTGTGGCACCAAAATAAAGAACTGCTAAATTGCTATTCCAGACTTTCGTTGATCAAACTGTAAGAAACTCTCTTGTAGCTTTCTGGCTAAATAGTTTTACTTCTTTTTTGTTATGGTGGTTTTTTTTTGGGGGGGGAGGATCTGCTTATTTTTTGTGTATGTCAACAGTGTAACAGAGCGTAACTATTTTTTTTCTATGTCTTCTTTCTTATGTATTTGTCATAGCTCTTTTCTGTGTCTCAGGGGATGTTCCATCCCTTAATTCTTCTAGCCTAAGCAAGCCAGATTACCTTACCATATATCTTTTGTGTTCGTGTGAATGTTCTAATAACATGGCTAAACCATTTCTAGTACTGGAACTGTGTATCTCTGGAAGACAATGCCTAATGCAGTGCTTCTCCTTTGTAAGATAATTTTCCCATACTTCTGTAAGGCCCCCACTTTCTGCCTCTTCCTGCCTGATTCAGTCTTTCTAGAAAATGTTTGGTCAAAGGTGTATATATAACTCCAGATGAGACTTAACTATGATTTTGTAGAATAGCACATCCCTATTTCCCTCAGAAACTGCTCCTGAAACTTTATAGGTTTGTATGTACTTACTTGCCTAGCAGTGTCAGGTACTGACCTCACAGTCTGTGATTAATGACTGTGTCCGAGTATTTCGCCTTTTGTGTCTTTTCCAGCTGTCAATCCCATCTTCTGTAGGAAATATTGTTAGTCCATAAGTGCATGACCTTGTATTTCTACTGTTGAATTTCATCCGTTTTCATTGTTGCAATCCTCAAGAACATTCAGGTTTTGTACAATATTACAATGGTTTGTACTGACAAGGTCGCTCAGTTTTCTGTCATTAATAAATGTCATTGCCATATTATATTGAGTTATTGCCCAAATGCACACTGTGATGGACATAGCGTGAGAAGTCCTATGGAGGTTTGCTTGTGTCATGCCCATTATAGAAATCGATTATTTTTGTCCCATATCCATTCTTTCATACACAAGAGTTGACATGTTCTGTTGTATCTTTGTCAATGGCAGCCTTAGCTCTTCAGTCTTGTTTTCTGTTTGATACTTTTCTGAGTATTCTTATTGTTTCTTAACAATATTTTGTGTTTAAACCTTACTGCCTTTACTGTCAGGCATGGATACTTTTGTCTTTTACCTTACTTTTTTTGCTGCTGACCTGTTGCTTAATTTGACTGGTACAGTTCATGGCCTGAGGATCGAAAGTGCTTGTATTGCATAGTGAAAAATCAGCGAAGTCCAAGATCTACCAGTGCCTTACTGAAGGCTTAAAAAAAGAGGGTCAGAGTCAGTTCCACCACTTCTGCTTCAGTTAATGGGATCTTTAATTCTTTGTCTCAATTGAGCTTATGACCTTTGCCAGGTAATGACTCCAGAACTTCTTCTCTGGGCCAGTCAGTGGCTGGTTTCCCCATCCTCACTAATGTCACGTCATTTGTGAACCTCTCAGCATTCAGGAAGCATTTTGAAAAGGGTTATGCGGACCTTTTTCATGCTCTGGGAATCCTGACTTCAGTTCTTATTATCCAACAACTGTTACCAAAGTCTCCCTCTCACAGACACAGTTAACGGATACTGGAGTTTCCACAACACTGGCTGCGTGTTCAGAGGTTAACTGAAGTTGGCATCATGAGGTTCAGGCCGCTCCTCTCAGTCCAAAATTTATTCTTAAGAGTATCCCAGTGACTATGTGGTAACATGATCTGTAGATGTCTTCAACATGATTTTTCAGAGCCAATTGAAGCCAGAACTCCTACCAAGTCTGTTCTGAGGGGGCTTAGTCTGAGGAGTGTTACTAGTGCCGTTTACCACTGTCAGTAAGTCTCACCAAGATACTAATCTCTGAAAGCTTCAGAGGTTTTTACTCAAGCATGCCATGAAGGCTTCCTTTCACCCCTGTGCCAGAAATTGTCATAAGTCTGTCTTGGCCAAATGAGGTTTTCCAGTGCTGTTTACATCCTTTTACCATAAAGGTTAATTAACTGGCTAAGAAGAGGTCAGTGAAGTGTACGTTCCTTTAGACAGTGCTATGTGGCATGTGGGAGTTCCAGTTTCTTTTCATTGCTCTAAGTCACAGCCACGGCACCACTGGCACCAAGCTACTTCCCAGCTTTGCATCAACAAACATGGGGTTTTCTGGTTTTGTTGTTTGTTCTCTAATGCGTCTGATTTCCTTGTATGACCTGTTTTCTTCGAGAGCCATGGCAGACCCTGGACTAAGTTACACAGGTGATTGAAATACTTTCTGGGACTTCCTTAGTCATATTGTAAGTTATTGGAAATCCTTCGCAGGGAGGAGGGAGAGGCTTGTCACAGTTCAGTGAATGTTCTCTCTTTTGTCAGTGGTGGCTTTAATTTGTTCTAGTTGGTTAAGAGTTCATCAGGAAATGTAGTGGAGCGAGTGTGTGTATGTACATGTGCACAACACAGTGGAGATTTAAGAGAATAATACTGTACAAAATAAGAACAGCACAGATGAGTCATTATCAAGGTAATGCTAACAAGATAATATTTAGTTTTTGTATGTTAAAAAAACCCCACCCAATAAAAAAACAAACAGAAAAAAAAAATAAAGATTTTATCTTGCAAAGAACCTTCCAGTTTTCTCATGTATCTTTTTTACTCAGCACCAGTTGCTATGTGCCCAGGTCTGAGAGCTGGATAGCCAGCCACATCCCTGCTAGTGCTACTGCAGAGGCAAACAAATACGCAAGACCTCTGTAATGTTTCTAATTAGTAGTTAAAATACAAACAAACAAATAAACAAACAAAAAGCCTGTGGAAACCTACTACATGTTACATGTAGCTTCTCACAGGTGACAGCTTGGGCTTAACTGCCAGGTATGAATTTGAACTCCAGGACAGTTGCGTTGATTGCTCTATTTCCCTCAGGTTTTAAGAAGAGGTGCTGTGTTACAGCTTACTGGAGAGCTTAATCAAAAAGCTTACCACTAGACCTGCAATTTTCATGTCAGTTCTGTCAGACCTCTATGAAATAGGTTATTCTGAACTTAGCATTCTTTGCATTGATTTCATTGACCCTTACTCAGTTTAGCCATCCAATCTTTGGTCCTGTCATCCTCATACCAGGTGAAAACAGAAAGGAGTGTTAATTCAGAACCTATCTAAACAGCTAGTTGGAGGCAGTTGTGTGATTAATCTTCCCTTCTCTGACCTAGATTTGCACTAGGTGGCTCCCCACCAGATACTATCTTTACAGTAAATGCAAGGCTGTGCCCCTGTGAATAGCTTTACCCTTTAAAGAGGAAATTTCTAACAGGTTCAGCATTGGAGCTAATTCTTACCCTTTTTGCCCGGTTATCTTACAGTTGCATCTGAATTTGCACACACATCTATGCTTTTGGGGCTGCAAGCTAATTATCTGTACTTCATTGTAATTATGTAGTCAGCCGAAAAGTAAAGTCTTGTTAGCAAGTTTCTGTTACCCATAATGCATCTGGTTTCAAGTGTTGTCTGATCACCTTCATTCGTCTTGTTGCCCAGATTCCTACTTTAGCTGCTTCTTACTGGTCACAACTATTAGTCCATAAGTGCACGACCTTGCATTTCTACTGTTGACTTTCCCATCCGCTTTAGAATCAGTCACATTGCAGGGGGAGTGGATTAGATGAACTTTAAAGGTCCCTTCCAACCCAAACCGTTCTATTATTCTATGATTTCACTAAACCTATCTAAAGACTGTGTTTTTAATCTACCACAGAGCATAGCTTGTACTTCTCTTTGGTACTAATGTTAATGTAAGACCTTCTCCCTCTGCCCACTGCTGTGCTGGCATCACTGTGTGTGGTATACTTAGGTCAACTGTCCTTTCAAGCACAGCATTTATGTTGTGTCTTTTGTATTTTTCAGCTTTATTCTGTAGTTTGGGTCATTTTTATTGTCTCAGTTCACACTGTTACTTTTTCTTCCTATTTTTATTTTTTTTTTTTTCATTTTTTAAGAGGAAGTATAAAACAAAAACCCAACACCAAGACATCATTCATCCAGTCATTCCTGTAAACTTGCAGACTCTTGTTTTGGCTGTGTATTATCGGGATTAGGCATTAGCAATATGACTTTACAGACCTTTTGTTTAGGTCCACCTATCCCACAGTATCACAATAAACTTGATTTTACTTTATGGCAATCTGCAGCTGAAAGGAGTGGTCCTGCTCTTTCTTTTTCTACCTTCCAAACCCTAAGAGCATTTGTGCATGGTTGCATGTGATGGATTAGATAATTTTGTAGATAACCCCTTTTCACTCCCTAAAAAAAAGCATTTTGCATAAAACCAGCAAGCAGATTTAAGTTGCCATGAACTAACACATGGAGTTGGTAGATCTGGTTCAAGAGAGAAAACGTGAACATGTAGCTGATACTAGGGGAGAGAAGAACTATGCCATTTGGCAGCAGGTCACTTTAGGCTGGATTAAACATGTTGCAAGATTACTGTTTTAACAAGGATTTTTTTAGGTAATGTTCTAAAACTTCTTCAAAGGAGAAAAAAAGCGAAGCTCTCTCCATGGCCTGCCATTTTGTCCATTTAGCATATATATTTAGGAAGGACTCAAAGGAGACTTTTATCTGCACTTCCTTAAATATTGCTGTAAAATTTAAACTTAATGCATGTATTTGCAGAGCTTTGATTGTACTTTGAATACTGCAAAGTGTTTATAGTGTAGACTGAGATAAAGTGTCTTATTATATTTCTAAGTTTTGACGTTAGCATTTCTTTTAGTACTTTGTTCCTTGCAAGTCACTAATATCACAAAATGGAACAAAATGGAAAAAAAAAAGGGAAGTAAAACCTACTGGAAAGACATCAAAGATGAAGAATATAGGCATTAAGACTTCCTGTGTTTTGAGAAGTATGTTATCTTATAAATTAGTATTCTGTGGCAAAAACCACTACAATTTATGCTCAACACGTAAAAAATCATTCAGTTTCCTCAAAAAGGAAGTTATTTTTGAACATAGTCACACTGCAGTGGTATGTACTGTTCTTCGGATCTTGTCCCATAACTCAAAAAAAAAAAGTAAAAGTAGGAAATATGTTATAAAAAAATGTGTATATCCTTTGTCATTTCTTAGAATAATTTGTTTGGTGTTTTTCCAATTACTGCCTCAGGTTTAGACTTACAGCATCATAAGTCTTTAGCTATTTTGTATAATACGAAACAGTATTAGATGTGGTTTCTGGTCTTCTGTAAGCACTTCCTGTTTATGCATATAATTTCATTGCAATCAATTAACACACTTGCGTGAGAGTGTATGTGTCCACACACACATGTATCTACACAGTTTTCTATTGGCTTGTAGAATTTAAGGACCATAGAAACAAGTTCAGTCTAAAGTGGCTGCACACTGTTAAGTTTCCTTTTCAGCCACTGATCTAATTGCTGGTGACGCTTGGACATTCCTGGAATCTCAGGTGGCTAGAATATCTTGCACAGTAAAGAAAACATTAAACAAGTTAATGTGAAAAACTGCACTAAGTTTAGCTACTTTTGAATAGTTTCTTTAAGTACAATTTAGAATCAACAGCAATACTTGACTTAAAATAAGTACAGCTTGGCTTTAATTTGCTTTCAGAATGTCTCTTTTCATTGTCTGAGTTGAATTATTTATGGATTTCTTCCTCGTTAGTGCATTTTCAAGTAACGCAATTGTAAATTGTCTGAAATTCCTTTGTAATTTTGACAGGTAAATGTTGGAAAAATGGATTCTCCCATTGAGAAATGGAACCTTATAATTGGCAATTTGGCCTTAAAACAGGTAAATATTTTGGATTTATTTGATTAACTCTTGGACTTTTTCAATAACTTTGCCCAGTTACATCACAAACATCAGTAAATACGGAGATGGACAGTGTCAGTGGGAAACTAGCTCTACTACACTGGCTCATACTTAATGTTTGCATGACCATTTTATTGGAACAGTGTAGTTCTCCTAAACAATATAAGCTTATATTTATCAGAAGAAGAGGTATTCTCTGTAACTGTACCAAGGGTATTTCCTTTCTAAGTTATCTGAGAAAGGATCTCAAGATGATTAAATAAAAATTGCAGATTTGGCAGAACCTTTTTACATTGGATTCAATGTTTAAAGAGTGACAGAACTTTTGGATAATAAACAATGTTTTAATATAACAAATATAAATAATAATAATAAATAATATA